GGCCGGCGCTGCTGTTAATCGCACAATAAGCGAGTCGGATAATCAGCGTGCGATTATTCCATAAACCGAACGCGCAGCTCCGTCGGCGTAAATCCCTGGCGCGTTATCGCGACGGGCGAACTTTACCGCGGGTCCCCCGGGCCGGGCTAGCGCAGCTGCGCCCCCCGGACAACGGATATTTATTGCTCTATTCGCCGCGCGGCAGCCCGAAATATTACATAATAATGTCGCTGTTGTGTACTAGTTGTGTGTGTGTGTGTGTGTGTGTGTTCATAAATGTGTGTTGTTGTTGCGTGCCCCGCAGCTGTTTCCGCGACCGTCCTCAAGAACGACCTGCTGCTCCACGAGGCCGTGATCAAGAACGACCCCGAGGCGGTGCGCAAGATCCTCAAGGAGCCCGTCGACGTCAACTGCAGGAACAATGTGAGTAGTCGGAGCAGTGGGGGTGCTCCTAGAAGGAGGTGCTGCCTCGGTAAACGCATTTAAACTTGGCGCAGCCGCCATGCCGTTCTCCTGCCACGCCCGTCCGCTCGGACGGATTGGACGGGAACGGCGAGCCGTGGGCGGCGGAGGCGGGGGCGCCCGGCGGCGCAGAGCGGCGCTCCAGATGGGGGATATATCTGTAGAGCCGTTGGGAGATTTAGGGCCTCGCGTTCTCCGAGAAGCAGTGGATCCACTCGCGGCAGGTGAAGTAGTGGAGGAGGAAGACCAGGAGCAGACTCCGCTCTGTGCGCCGCCCGCCCGCTCGCTGCTCCACTCGACGAGCGGGGAGCTGGAGCCACGGCGCACTCCTGTTGTACCCTCGGGAGGGGGACATCAGGAAGTCTCGCTGCCCGTGTCTCAGAATCACTCTGACGCAATCCTTGTTCCAGGATCTCATACTCTCCCTCTTTCCTCGCCTCCCCCCCCCCTCTCTCTGTCTCTCTCTCTGTCTCTCTCTCTGTCTCTCTCTCTGTCTCTCTCTCTGTCTCTCTCTCTGTCTCTCTCTCTCTGTCCCTCTCTCTCTTTTTCTCTCCGTCTCGTGCGCGCACTTCCGACTTCCGGCCTATATTCACAGACCTGTGCTCGCCACCCCACGTTCCGTGGTTTATGGCCGCCGCTCCAGCACTTTAGTGAATGCAGAGAGAGAGAGCGAGAGAAAGAGAGAGAGAGAGAGAGAGAGAGAGAGAAAGGGAGAGGGAAAGAGATAGAAACAAAAGCCTGTTAATAAATGGGGCACGGCGCGGCGCGTCTCCCAATGAAATCCATAAATAATTACGGCCGGACAGCTGTGAGGTGTGGTGGGGCGGGGCAGGGCCGGGCAGGGCAGAGCAGGGTGGAGCAGGGTGGAGCAGGGCG